TCCGGATTACGTTGCTTTTTCTCTAGGATTACCCCGGATTACCCCAAAATTTCCCCGGATTACCACGGATTTTTTTAGAATTTCCTCGGATTACCTCTGCCGGATTACCTTTCGGCTGTCAGCCGGATTACCTTAGTCGTTTCCCCCTCGGTTCCGAAGGTCTGTGCATGTTAAGTTGATAATCAGGCTATAAATTTGTCATGTGTTTAATTAAATTCGCGCAAAACAATCTTCAAAACCCCTACGCACAGCTAAAACCAGTGCCAAACCTTTTGTTGTGGTGCAAACAACTTCACCTCCAAGTAACAGCTGTTGAAATCTGACTCGAACGGTTACCTACGGAAATTAAAAGAAAGGTTTCGTATGGGATCAAATTACGAAAATTTTTCGTGCCAATTGTCAGTTTGTGAAAGTGTTTCGTAACGCTACGAATTTTCGAAGACGGCAATATAGGGAAACATTTCGAATGTGCTAGGATCTGTTATTTGCTTTTTTCATATGACTTTATTTTGTAATTTGACCTCACTCTTTTCGATTCAGATTCCTTAATAGTGCGTCAATTCAAATGTGTTAATGGATGCTGTCGTGCGCTGGGCATGCGTGCCGCTGCACTTGGATGCGGTCCTAATGGCAGCTTTACGCCGTCCGGAGCCCCCGCAAAGTGCCTAACTTAACGGCCTTTTACACAGAGGCCCCAACAAAGCACCCAAATGCACTGAAATTTTTCATTTTCTTGACATTTTCGACATTTTTGCACTCTGTAAAAACCTTGCGAGCGAACGGTTGTGGCCGATCTGTAATTGCGAACCTATTGCGAACCATTTCCTTTCAAAGTTTTTTCTGAGCATCTGTCATTCTATCGCAGGGAGCCCGTGTACAACTACGCGCGCCCCGGTGAGATCGACGCCGAAGACCTCGTGGAGCTGCTGAAGAGGATAGCGCAAGAGCTGCGGCGACCGGAGCAGGGCTTGCAGGAAGCGTAAGTTTTGCTTAGTGACCTTTTAAACTATCATCGTATTTGTGCAATGGTAAGGTATGAACAATTTTGGTAAGAAATCCGAGGGGTCGACAACTCGCGCTCTCCTGTGTCAGTATTACTAGAAATTTTGTGAGTATTACTGCTGCTGTGAAAACGAGTACTTTTGTCTATTTGCAAAATGTCAGAAAGGCAAAGTTACAGGCTGAGAGCGCATGTTGTATACACTTGCAAGTATGCAATTCCGTAGTTGTGCACTTGCGATTTTCATTCGCCCCGACAACGTGCCGGTATATTCACGTTAAATATTATTTTGTTGGCGAAAGAGTTTCGTGGGCCTGGGTGAGTGGGGGGAATACGTAGGTAGAACGCGGCAGCCCGGCGGGAGAAATGGCTCGAAAAGCCGGAGATAGGAGGGCACAATCCTTTGTTCGCTTGGTTCTTCACTCCCGCACTCCCTTCTCTCTCCTCCATTCCTACTCCCTTCCGATCATCTTTGTCGTGATCCCTCCTGTCGTAAGATTATCCCACTTCGCAATAACAGTGCGTGACCGCTGGCAGAGTTTTGTGCGTTCTTCCTTTTCTCGTGGTAGCCCTATACTGTGAAATTCCGTAGTCGAATAATAACCTCGTTTTCGGATCACCCGCCTCTATACTGTGGACTCTGAGATATTGTCCTGAGACAGTGAGAGTGCAGGCTCCAGAAGGGCAAGTGTTCCAGTGCCAATAATGTGCTTCTCTTGGGGTCACGACTGCCCTTGTCGCCACCTCTCCGCCGCTGCTCTCCACGCCGCGGGCCGCCGGCCGGCCGGCTAGCTGGACCGCTGACGCTGCGCGTCGCGTACAACACAGCAGAGTGGCGGCGATAAAACGACCGCCTTCGCGTCGACTAGAAAATCCTTCGGTCTGCAGCCACCCCAACTGAAAAAAAGGATCCGTGGTTATGTACACTAAAAAGGAAAGTGTGCAACTGGCGTGACGGTGGTGGTGTGGGACTGGAAATTTCAATACTTACACGTGTTGAAATGGATGTGTTGCAATTGATTTCAAAATGAGATAATTTTGACTCGTGACTTTGGATGGACTTCAATTTCTGTCGATCCACAAGGCCGCCGCAAGATGGCGTTTTCCCTTTTTCACTGCACTGTAAACAGAAGCGTCGAATTTCTACGCCTCATAGGTTCGTTTTTGTTCACAAGCTGATTTTAAAACATCATTCCTGATAGGATATCGACTGAACTGACTTTTGACTTGAGTTCAACTACATTTATTAGGCACCCCTTAAACCGAAACTGTCGATAACACTTCGTTTTGTAGTGTTTTAGAAGGGGATGGTGAACAAAATCGAATCCAGTAATCGTCGAAAAGCGACGCTTGTAATTACAGTGTGATACTTCACGCACGGGTGATATCAAATGCGAATTAGGTACTGGTTTCCCCCGAACTTTATTGCCCAACCAGGCTAGAGACAGTAACGAACGAGGAGCCAAATGCTGAGATGTAAGCGCGCTCTCACTCACACCCTCACCTCTCTCGTCTCGCGAAATTTCCGCTTGACGAGCACCCAGCGCGGCCCATGATGCCGCCCCGCTCCGCCAGGTGCACCGGCGTGCTGATGGTATGATCAGCGTCCTGACGCCGCCCGGATTCAGATCCTCGCGTCCCGCTCGGCGGGTCCTGATTCGGGTCGTATTCGTATGCCAATGGCGGTGACAGCGGGCGGCGGAGCAGAAGCGTGAGCCTGCAGCACGACACGCGCCGGAGGGGAAGTCGGTCCCGCCCCAAGGCAGACGGGCGTGCGGTGGAGGCGGCGGCCCGATGTTGACACTTCACATTAATTGCGTTCGCCATTGATTTACGGCCCCGGCGCCGTAATTCGGATGACGCGAAGCGAAGGGATTTGCATGTGGCGCACGCACCCCTCTTACCCCACTCCCCATCCCCCTGACTCCCTTACGTCATCAGAAGAGCTTCATTTGCGTGATTGCTCGTCCAACACCTTGAGCACAGCTCCACTCATTTTTGAAGGTGCTGACGGGTGGTGAGTGCTTTGCTTTACCGCGCCAGTAAGAGATGAGCTTTTGATTGTTGTGGCCAAAAGTGGTTTGACCCGAATTGCACTGTTCGAGAATCGCTTGGGATTTCACAAATGTTCAGGTGTATTTGAATTATCCGACCTGGTGATTTTTCCAAAATCCCAAATAGTGCTTTCCGACCTAATTTTGTCCGACCTTGTCGATATACTGACATTTGGGAAGAATGTGCTTCAAAGACGAACAGGCTTCAGAGGTCATGAAGGAGAACATAAGGTGCAGTGAGCGAAAGACGGTGCAGCTAGATGATTGCTAGGAAAAAAAACGGTCCTTTTGGGGAATTTCCGAAAGATTTGAATTACAGAAACGTGCCATTTTAAACCAAAATTAAGTTTGGCAACAACAAAATTGACAGTCTGTGAATAATTTTAGAGTTAATATTGCACGAAAATTTCATGGAAACATAATTTTCCACACTCTTTTGTATTTCAAATTTTCCGTACTCATCGGCATCCGCTCTGGCACGCCCGGTACAATGTCGTATGTTATTGAAGCACGCTGCCTCCCGCGCTAACTTGGCGCATTCGCTCTGCCACTTTCACTCTTACTGGAGGCAGTTGGGCTTCAAACGGCTTCACAGACCGTCCCTGCTCCGCCGTGTGCGCCTCCCGTCCCCGTCAACGTGGCCCTTATCAGACCCGCCCTCACTCAAGTGAACACCCCCCTTGTCTCTCTCCCCCTCTCCCTATCACTCTCTCTTTTCCTCCTTGCCGCCTGCTGCGCGGGCCGCAGTGAGACGCCGTCACAGAGAATGGCGCTACACACACCTCGCTCCGCCCCGCTCTCTTGGTAATCTAACTCGAACGTCTCCCAAACACTCGCGCCTCGTCCCGACACGCGCCTTTTGCTCTCATGTGGCTAGGGAAGGGGGGGGGGCTGCATGTGCCTCTTTCGGGCCTTCCACTCCCCTATTCACTAAACGATTTTTATCGTAACTTGTCCCTCAGCCAAAAATTAAACATTGTCACGATTGTAAAATGTTAAGTTGGTGCTGGAGCTGTGTGTCGCCGGCTCGGTGTCTGAGGTGACCACGATGACTATGCATGCTGGGCGCCGCCGCCGTGTCACTGCGGTGCACCTCACTCGGTATGCGCATCCCAAACAGCGGTCTGCGTGGCGCCTGGGGCCGACCTACTGCCTTTTCGAGTGCGCTCCGCCCCTCCCCGCCCCTCGGCACGGGCTCTCGTGCTAATTTGATTTTCTCCACCGGCGGCGGCACCACGGGCCGGAGGCTCTAGGTCGGTCCCTGGCAAGGCCAATCTGGGGACGGGAGGGCAGCGCCTCGAGCCGCCCGTCACGCGGCGGGTAGGCAACGCGCCGCGCGCAGCTGCGTGGCGGGCCTGCCTGCCCCCCAGGAGCCTGCTCCCTGAGGTGGTGTCAGTAGTGGGACGTAGCTCGAGCGCCCGTCACGCGGCGGGTAGGCAACGCGCCGCGCGCAGATGCGCGACGGGCCTGCCTGCCCCCCAGGAGCCTGCCCCCTAAGGTGGCAGTAGTGGGACGTAGCTCGAGTGCCCGAAGGCACGCGCAGCTGCGCGACGGGTCTGCACTTGTGCTCTTCCCTTTCAGCCTGCGGCGCGGTTCAATGACCGTCCCCAGTGCAAGGCGCGAAAAAGCGTTCAAGAATCGACGTTTTATGCCTGTTCCTGTAATTGGATTTTATAGCCGAGAGAGTGGAAGAGGTGGGGGAGAGAGTGAGCAGCATGATTGAGACGTGTTTGGGAATTTATGTGCCCACGCTGTGTCCAGATCCGCGGGGATGACTCCTAAAGGTCTCAGCGCAAACTTGCTCGCAAAAGTGGCGACTGTGCTGTCCGTAGAAGAATGCTGATCATTTGTATGGCGATTCACCTACGTTTCATTCACCGATAAAATATCCTACCTACCATCCTGTCGCTTCTCCTGTCGCAAATAGTTGGAAATTTTTCCTGGACCCTTCCCAGCAAGAAAAGGCCGTCGTCAACTTTAAAAAATATTTTGTAAATCGAAATGACAAAATATCTTGTAAATTTACAAAGTTTTACGGCTTGTTTTTCTGGTGTAAATTATATCACAAGGATAGTGTGGATGAAATGAATAAGCAGTGTTCGTCTGCAAACCTATAGCACAGTGTGTTCCGGTACCACACCCGGAACGAAACGAGGCGTCATATCCTCTCCCCACCCACCCCCCTTCCTTTTCCGCAACTGTCTACCCCCACCCCATTATCCCCTTCTGGCCCCGCCCCTCCCCGCTCCGTCCCTCTGTCAACAATCATTAGTGCTTTGCGCTTACGTGTCTATTGTCCTGACTCGCGGCGGGGCGGGGCGAGGTGGGGCGTGGCGTGGTGAGGCCCGGCATACCGATTAGCTGGTCCCACCGCAACAGGATTGACACTATGGGCACGGACGCTGGGCGCTAGGATGCAGGGCCGTTGGCGCTGTCGGAGACGTGGCGTTGTATCAACACGATTATTACTCCGCAAATCTAACTGTACCGGATGTAACTGTGAATCCGCAGCAGTTTTGCGGGTTTGCATACTTAATATGGCCGCAGGGGCCATGGCCCCTTACGGGTGAAAAGAGTAGGCAAACCCGCAATACTGCTGCGCATTCACAGTTACACCCGACATGTCAAGATGACAGTTTCGACTACGAAACTAAATCAGTTGCAAGTTTAAACTGCAAAACTAAGAAGTTATACAGTTTCAACGGTCAAACTAGCGCTATGCAGTTTTGCAGTTCAAACTGTTAAACTTCATAAGTGTAAGGTTTAAACTGTTATTTTCTATGTAGTAGGTTGGCAGAGTAGTTCCATATTCTCATATAAAGAAACATTACATACACGGCCCTTTGTGCGCACTATATTTAACTGCTGGGCTTTCAGGAAAGGGGGAGTTAATCACAGTGACAAGTATTTTTTCCCCCTTTTCTGTTTCTCACTCCTTCGCTTGTAACAAGCGCACGGTTAATTGCAGTGGGAATTGGATTAAAAAAAAACGAGGAGGGGGAAAAGGACGGCCTCATTCCGATGCGACAGGGAGGCACTCATTATGATGCCGTTTCCGTACGTAGTCCGAGTGGACTGATGTCATCCGCGGGATTGTGGAAAAGACGGGTGGGGGTGGTCTGAAGGCCAAGGGCAAGGAAAAAGGAGGGGTGAAGCAAGGGAGGGGGGGGGGGGGGGGGGTTGTGCCGAGTGCACGGCAAACCAATTAGAGTCGGAAATGACGGGCATTAATTTTTTTTTTAATTTTTGCGGTGAGACAATTAACCCCTGTTGCTGCGGCTCACTGTTAGAGTTTCTCGAGGAAATGATATTAGAAGGGAATTGCCTTCTTTGAATTTTTACAATTTTTAAAGCAAAGAAAGGCGCTGTTTTACAAACTTCACTGTTTTAAAACATATCTCTAGGATTTCACGAAGTTGTCGTGAATTAAATTCCCAACACGTCCTTTGGACTTTCCCAACGCCCACAGTAGTTTCGCTCAGTCAAAACTCCTCGGGTATTGCACGTTTAAAGGTTGACCGTGACGATTCTTCCAGACATTCTCTGAAAACGAAAGTGTGAGAATGTCGCACACTTGTAAGTGTGTAAAGATGTGAATTTTTATTTTTATTTAAAATTCACTTACTGTTACCTTCATGCGTATGTACACTGTTAAAAAAAATCATATAGCACAGTCATACACTCTTTCCGTACCCGCATGAGTACAGTGTTGTTGAGTACGGAGAACAGGAAATTTTAACATGGAGCCTTTTGGGGACCACGGTAAATAAGAAAGGGTGTCCTGTACGGGAACCCTGTGCTTCGCCGTCTTTTGCCACAAGATTTTTAAAAGTGAACGAATGGCGTTCACACGCCTACAAGTGTGCGACGGTCACTCACTTGGGTTTCCAGGGTGTTTGTCGAACCTCATGTCTTGTTTTCTTTGCAGTAAGCGCGGCATGGACTTCGGGCTCTCTCGCGGCTTCTCTGGCGCGGGCGCCGCCAAGCACCTCATGGGACTCGCCGCGGCCAACTATGCCGGTGGGCCGGGCCGCAGGAGGCGCAGCGCTGCACCTGCTGCACCTGCTGCACCTGGAGCCGCACCTGGCGCAGCGCCACAGCTGTAAACCTGGATGCCCAGGCGGACGCCCGGCCGGGTCGGGGTCCCCGACGCTTTGTAGCTCTGCAGCACACGGCAGCCACCCGAGCAAGGCCGCGGTCGCACAGCAGGGCCAGCGGTGGAGGCAGAGAGAGACAGCGTCCCTCCTCTCACCCTCTCCCTCTCTTCCACCCCCGCATCGCCGCCCACCTCGTACAATCACAGACAGCCACTGTTCCATCCCACACGACGACCGGGCTGGTGGACTGCTCCTTGATCGGGTGGCCGAAAAATCTTTTTCTAGTCTTGTTTTACTTTTGTTTATAGTTTGAGGTTCCCTCGCTGTAATGGAGGGCTACAAGAGAAATGTTCTAATAGTAATAATTATTATTGTTGTTAAATATTAATTATAATGGTGGAGTCTCTGCTCCTCAGGTCGACGGCTCTGCTGTGTCGGTCTAGGGACCAGATTAACTGTAAAAAAATATCGGTCCTACCTTTACAAGAAATAATCGTGTGTCTTACACAAGAACAAATGTGTCATGAAGGGGCGGATCGTACACAGATAATGATCTCATGATAATCAGTTTATAAAAGACACATCCTCCTCACCCTTCTTGTGTTAATTCCACAATTCCACATGAGTCAATAAAATTTTCTGTAATTTTACGACTCTGTATCTTAACATTTCCTGGAAAAATTGACGTTTTCCTGTGAAATTTTCTTGTAAAATCTGTGAGGTTTTTTTACAGTGGAACTCCTCTTCCACGTGTCGTTGGCCGGGGACTTGTCTTGAGTCCTTTTTTAACTCTACTTAGGACTTATGTTTTATAATTTTGTTGCTGTTACCTGTGAGGCCCCGCATGACTACCCATCGAATTGTGTAGATTCTTCCTAGCCCTGCAATGTGTCCAGGGAGTTATTCTGCACTGGTAAAACAAGTGTTTAATTTTGCACGTCAATTGACGTCTA